AAATATAAACATTAAAATATAAACATTAAAATTGACAATTAATATTCTATATGTAATTTACTTACATAAATCATTTTTATTATAACATGTTCGCAAGTTTCTTACATTTGATATTATAATAAAAAATAATCGAAAAGTCATCTATACTTAAAATTATCTTGCCTATCTTAATAGAATGTAGTTCTTATTTATAAATTAAATATATGTTATTTTCATATAAATCGTTATAAATTTTGTCAGATATCTACAAAATGCCTCTTCGAATAGGAAAAATCAACAATATAGGAAAATTTGATGCAGAATTTTTTAATATGTCGATCGAAGAAGCTCATACAATTGATCCTGGAACTAGAATATTATTCGAAAGCACCTATGCAGCAATTATTGACGCAGTTGTCAATCCCGCAGAACTGCAGGGACAAGGACAGCAGTTATCACAGCAATATGAGCTTGTGATACATATCTCGATCTACGAAAAGCTTCATGTATGTTAATAATTTTACTATTCCAGACTCATGTATGTCAATAATTTTATTATTAAAAATCGATAAGAAAAACATGCACTCTTAAACCTGTATGAACGTATTAATAATTATTAGTTACTGGATTGCTCATACTTGGTTGCAGTAAAAATATGCCGGCAAATAGAATTTCTAACTGGCTCAACGTCACTGGACCATCGTATAACATCGATACTTGTAGCATGTAGCTCGAGCCATTTCGCTATGGTGGAAGCTTACAATTTGATTCGATCTGGAATCTGCGCAGCTATTGTCGCTAGTGTCAATTTATGCATTCATCCTTTTGCGACTTATCAGTTTTATCGTCTGGATATGTAAAAGATAATATTATGTTCAAAGATGTTGTATTTGAGATTGTTAAATAATATAACTTATTTATTGATGCATTAATTAACACCATATTTGATTTAATAGTTTCTCTTTTCAAAATATAACAATATAACTGATTCACCTACTTAATATATTTATCAACATTTTCAAATATTTTAAATATTTTATATATTTCTAAAATTTTCGCCTATAACTATAACTATAACTTATTCGCTTATTTTACATATTTATCAAATTTTTCAAATATTTGGTATATTAATTAAGAAACCGAAATAAAAAAGTAAATTACATTTTTTATATGTAATCAAAATAAATTATTGATATTATTTTAGGAGTTTTATCTCGCGATGACTACTGTAAATCTTATGATGAAGAAAAAAAAAGGCGCAGATTACATGCGTAGTGATGCGGCTGCAGTAGTATATTTGCAAAAAGCAAAGGATGCACGAAGAATCTATCCGACTTTTATTTATGGTAAAACCAACTGCGAAGGTTTTAAAGAAGAAGGAATTACCTTTCCATCATTCGACAAACATGTTTGGTTCATGTTTATGTGATCCTCATTTTCCAAACTTAAGCATATAAAATCAAATGTACGATCATTTTTAAACGATACATTGTTAACCTTACTAATGCGAATAAATTCATCAAAAATTGACATTGACGTTTCATTATTTGAAGCAAGAAAATGCGCCCATACAATTTACAGCTAATACCGTTCCTGAGCTCGAGCGTCTTACGTCTTCGAGAGCATTCTAGTTGCTATGAAAATAAAAGAGTGGGGATGGCAGTTTAGAAAAATTGGCCGAAATGCAACCCGGCTGCAGGCCTGAACTATAGTATAGTCTGCGATAGCGATTCGATCTCCTTGCAAGAGTCTCATGAAACGAATCATCGCGCTATATAAATTGAAACGAACTGGAAGTGGTGCCTTGTAAATAATCGCTATCGATATCTTTCTCGACATATTTCTTCATATATTCAGATTTTAGAAAACACAAAAATTTTTTTAGTTTTCAGAGTTTTAGTTTTGTTCAATGATAGGAGAGAAATTTAATAATCTATTTCCTTTTCTTCTACATTAAGATGTTAAATTTAAAGAAATCCTACTTTTTATTTTTCATAGTTGTGTTATTATTAATAAAATTATTATTAAAAAAATGTGTGAAGTTCCCCATTTCCCCTCTTCTTTATAACCATAAAATATATCTGTGCACTACAGATATGAGTAACAGAGATCGATAATTCGTTTCAATTAGAATTTAAGTCAAAATAATGGAAATCAGGTTAAACGCAATAAAATGCGAAATTTGAAATCAAATCGCGAAAATTCAGTTCTCAACAATCAATTATAAAACGCGAAAAGTTCAGTTCTCTGAAAATAACACGTTGGAGAATTGCGTGCTATTTTTAAATAAAAAAAATATTGAAAAAAAATAACACTATAGATAGGTTTAGAACAGTTATCAAATATTTCGAAAACTAAGTTTTTGACAGTTAATAAATAACCTTAAAATGAGTATCAAAGTAAGCGAGAAAACACATGGTTTGACAACTTAAAAAAAGTGGAATTTTTTTTTACATAATATTTCTTGCTAAACTTAGTTTTCGAAAAAGTTTTTGAGAACATCACATTAGTGAATAATGAAACAATAAAGTGAATAATAATGAAATACACGCACAAGAATTGTCAGTGTGTCATTAGATCAAACAAACATCATAAAAATAATAAAATGTCTTTTGACATTTTGTAATTTATTGTTGTTTTGCAGGGGAAATTTCTGATATGTGGTCATTTGTTATTGACTTTTTCATGATAGGTGATATTGATTTTTAATGAATAGCTGATTTATTTTATTTTATAAATAATAATAGATTAATTTCTACAAATATTTCTTTGATTAAAAAATGTATCTTACAAATAAGTAAAAACATTAAGTTTTATAATTCTGTGTCAAAATTAATTATTAAACAATTATTAATTTTTATTTAAAGAAGAATTAATTGTTTTCTGTAATATTATTTATAATATACATTGTTAATATTAATTAATCACTATATGTCGATGTACATAATAAATTATATACATATAAGAAATGATACAATAAAATTAGCTGTGCAGTAAAATCAATATCTTCAATAATCAATATCAAAATCAATATCAATACTTAATATGAAAAAATCAATAACAGATTTGATAGATCGATAGACGTGTATGTATACAAGGTGTTCAATTTAAAATTATTTTTGCGAAAAAACATGTCATTTGTCAAAAATGTCAATTTTTGTTTTGAGAGGGATATTTTAAGTAACATTAAATGCAACAAAATTTTTTTATCCCCTTCGTTAGGGTAATTATATCTCTTCAAAAATCTTAAATATGGCAATAGAGATTCAAGTAATATATATTATTTTAATGATCTTTTAATTTTTCTGTACAACTCTCTCTTTTTTTAAATTAAATATTTTTTCGAGAAATTATTTTTGAAAGTTTTAGATTGGTTTTAATTTTTTTTTAAAGCGATCAAAAAAG